GGACTCTCCGGTTAGTGCGCCCGCCGCTTATTAAACCCAATTTGGTCTGCCCCCGAGATGGGCTTAATGACCGGCGACTACTGTATAAAGGGAAACCGGCAAGACAGTGGCGCAGTCGTTAGAGCGTTGGACTTCTATCTTATTAGGTTGCGGGTTCGAACCTCTGGTGGGGCACCGCTTGGGCTTGGGTATGACTGGCTGACAACGGCTAATAAGCCGTAAATTGCCATCTTAGTCTCCCTTGTCTTTGTCGGTAATGTCTTTCTGCATAAAAGTAAATCTATATGCGGATGGAGCGAAGAAAAAGTTATCTATATCATTAGCCGCTATGCGGTTGCTAGCAGGGCTGGAGAGTGAGTCCTGTAACCGATCGATGAGCGTCTATCTGCCACTGCATCAATATGTATTCCACCCACACTCGTTTTTCGCCCCACTACGTCCGAATTGCGTAATTTTCATGTGTTAGTGCCTTCAGGAAATGTTCATTTCCTTTCGTGTCTTCTGCCAGACCCTTGTTGGATCAACTTGTCCTCCGAGCACGAGGGTAGTGCGGTGTGGTAGCTGTGCTAATTACAATGATGCTGGCGATGACCACCGGATAGATTTTCACACACACAACGCGCGTTTATGAGGTCTTGGGTTCATTAGTCATTCCCGCGGACCTGCCGGGTTTGTCCGCCAGTTGGTTCATGCGTGTTGTTTTTACGTTTGCGTGTGCCTTGTGCTCTAGAATACGGACTCCGGATTCCGGTTTCAGCCAACAAATGCGAAATAGAGAGCGAACATGGAGCTTAAACATACGACGAGCGCACACACTTCCACACGCACACACCACAGCAGTCATCATACACGAAATCGCGCTCACCTGTCTACTTGGTGCGTTTCTTCACGCCTTCACTTCCTTTTGTTTTTTGTTTTTTTTTCACTAGTTGGGCATCCTAATTACAACTCCCGCGGCCTTCTTCGCGGAGGCGCGAAAACTCATCAAGCAACACCGTGCACTTGAAGAGAAGATCTCCGAACTGCACTCCGAGGTAGGTTTGCTCTTCTTAGAAGTCGGCTTTGTATCAAACGTTTCCTCGCTACTCACTTTTATTTTGGCTTTCTGAGTGGTGGAAGGGGGGTTGGTTTTCGATCCGTTTCATATAGTAGTTATTTACTGTCAAGTCTGTCGCGATTGTGGTATCGTAGGCCGAGTAACCGCTGAACCCTGCCATGGCATCAAGTGCTACACTTTAAACCCAAACTCGGCTTTTCCGGTAACAGGATTCACTGTTAAGGGCCACATCGCATGTTAAGACCTAACAAATGGAATTGATTTTTCCACTTAATCCACTTTATTCCTCGTCTGGTCTTCGTCGCGTGATCCGTGCGATAGCGACAGTGTTTCGTCATCTCTATAACGGGAGATTACGTTTGTTGACTGGTTGTTGTCTCATAGCTCCTCGCGGAGGTTTCTTGTCTGGCTGTCTCCATTTTACCTCGATAATTTATTTTAATCAACCACACCAATTCCAGCATAATTTTTTTTACAGTGGTCTCGGTTAACTAGTTTAATCCGTTCCGGCATCGAGCTCGTCATCTGAAATGCTCGTCTTGCAAAACGTAGCCAATAAAACTGCATCAGTTCACTGATTGGTTGCAGGCGACCGAGGATCCACGTCCTGGGTGCAAGACTCAACGGTGGACACAAATACATACACGCACTGACAACTCGTTAACTGAGCGACAGCTCGTCAATCGAAACAAATGTTCTGCTAGCGGCTCGCTCGTTACCTGAAATTCTTGTAGATGGAGCTGCTTGTCACCCTAGGCTTCACTGTACACGTAACTACGCGAGAGATATACTTAATGAAAGTTGAAATGGCATCTAAAAACCACGAGAGCTCAGGAATATTTGGACGTATAAGGGTCGCCCTTATCAATTAGTATGCCCTGGAACTTAAGATTCGTTCTCTCATGTTGTCAAGCAGTTTTTTATAAGTCCGATTTCTGTGCCTGTGTTGCAGTCACCCTCATTACAGTATGCTTTGAAAGCAACTGCTTAAACCTCAGTTAGCGGTCCTTTGTTTACGTCACGTAATCTGAAATATGGATGGTCACTTAGGGGGCGCGTATTGCAGTTTTCCTCAACTCTGTGCATTCCTCTGTTT